GGGCCCAGAACTGAACACAATACTCCAGTTGCGGGCGCACCAGAGTCGTATAGAGTGGCAGTAACACCTCTCTCGATCTAGAAGCCACACTTCTGGCTATGCAACCAAGGGTGGCGTTCGCCCTCTTGACCACCGCATCCCACTGCTAACTCATGTTTAGCCTGCAGTCAACCAGCACCCCGAGGTCCCTTCCACAAGTGCTGCTCTCCAGCCACTTGTCCCCTAACCTGTACTTATGACACCCATTCCTATGCCCCAAGTGCAAGACCTTGCACTGATCCACACTGAGTGCATTAAAATAGAATAATTAGGAAATATAAATAAGGGTTACTTTAAAATATGCCTGGGGCGTATGGGTAGGAAGATATTTTTCTCCCTCTTGCAATTCTAGGACACAGTAGGATCATTTCATGAGGCTGATGGGCGGGTGACTCAAGACAGAGAAATTTACATCCTTTTCACGTGGCACATGTTTAAACTCAGGTGTAGATCACAACTTGATGACTTAAAGGGAATTAGGCGCCTTCTTGGAGGATAAGGCTAAAAATAACTACTAGTCATGATTTCCATACATATAAGACCAGTGGTGGTATGCTGGGGAACATGGGTGAGGGGAACTTCCCACTGCAGCAGCTGGTGGGCCAGTCTCTGAACAGAAGATGCTTGTCTGACCTGGCTGCACTTTGCAAGGGCGTTAGATTGATTCAAAGGCTACTTGTGGCTACTAACCACTAGGCCCAATGGCCTTTTGGAATCTCCTCATGTTGATGTGACAAAGGCCAGTGACAGAGGGGAAAAACAGGGAGACCGTGTGATGCTCAATCCCCTCCTCCAAACGCCTTTGGAACTGAACTGCCCTCCCGCCCCCTGAGATCGGCAGCAGAGGCCCTCCTCCGGGAGCCCTCCGTGAGAGACATCAGGAGGCAAAGTACCCCGGAGGAGGGCCTTCTCTGCGGTGGCGCCCCGACTATGGAATGCGCTCCCCAGAGCGGTCCGCCTGGCGCCATCCTTATTTGTTTTTCGGCGCCAGGCCAAGACCTTTTTATTTGATCAACATTTTAATAGGTTTTAATATTGTATTATTTATTTATTTAGTGAGCTTCTATGCCGCCCCATTCGCCAAAGCCTCGGGGCAGCTTACAACAATAAATGAATGCATATTAAACATATAAAAACAATATAATTGGAGACGTCCTGGCCAAAGATATAAAATCAATAAATAACGCTAACAATTAAAATGACATTTAAATAAAAAGGTCTTGGCCTGGCGCCAAAAAACAAATAACGACAGCGCCAGGCGGACCTCTCTGGGGAGCGCATTCCATAGACGGGGCGCCACCGCAGAGAAGGCCCTCCTCCGGGAACTCACCCTCCTAATATCCTTCACGGAGGATTCCTGGAGAAGGGCCTCTGCTGCCGATCTCAAGGAGTGGGAGGGCGCATATGGACATATGCACTCCTTTAGGTAGCCAGGACCCAAGCTGTTAAGGGTTTTATAGGTAATAACCAACACCAACACTTTTACCATTATATTTTAACCGCAGCCAGAGTGGGTCGATAATTTATGTTTGGTGATATTTGTATTTTATCTTTGTCCTGAGGCTTTTGCAAAGGACGGCATATAAATATCCTAAATAAATAAAACAAATAAATCACAGGCCCCAAAGAGCGCTGAAAGGGACACTGTCTGATTCTTCCTCTGTGCATATGTTGGAGAATCGAGGCAGCCTGTCCTCCCAGGCCTTTCGTGCAACAACCGTGCTGTCCTCCCAGACAGGTGAGGCTGGCTTTGGCGGTCCTTCAGTAGTTCTGCTTCAGAGGGAGCACTCGGGGTTAGCTCCTCGGAATGATGCGATTCATGGGGCAGGTTTCCCCATGGCTGCGTCTCGCCCCCTGTGCATTTGGACATTTACGCAAGCGTGCAGGAGCGTGGATTCAGGGACCTGGTGAGCAAGGCTCTCGGAAGGCTGTTGTCCTTCCGTCCTACCTATCGTTCTTGCTGGATTGAAGGCAGGTGGTGGGAGAGTTGAATTTATGCAGGGACTCAACAATGGGCTTGATGAAGATGATGACATAAAATTTCATCTTGACAAGGCAGAATTTCTATGGATTCCCAAGCTGTCATCATGTTTGGAAAACACAGGGAGAAGGTGGGGGGGGGGCAGGGGAGAGAGAGAGAGAGAGATAGAACACTTTGAAATGCACACCTTCAAAAAAACCCAGAATACTTATG